GTGTGTGTGTGTGTGTGTGTGTGTGTGTGTGTGTGTGTGTGTGTGTGTGTGTGTGTGTGTGTGTTTTCAGTGATATTTCTTATGCGGTAAGTTGGTCTCGGCAGTAGGGAGTTAGTAAACATATGATTATGTAGGTTTTCTGATTTTTACGATTGCGTCATAACCAAGGTTGGGATGCGTCTGTGTCTTATAGTGGAGAGGTGTGGGGGGGGCAAAAAGCGCGTCGGTTGGTTCTTATTTCTTTTTTGCGGTTATGTTCGTCCGTAATGTTATGGGTGATGTGCGTAGTGTACATTCATTGCAATGGTTGTCTCCGGAGGTGTCTTTCAGTATACTTAATTGCTAGATTATAATGAGTTAGAGGTATTGTTGGGGGGTCGCAAAAATTGTTCTATGCGTGTTATTTTTGGGTCAAGGCTAGTTGTTTTTTTATTTTTTAACTGTTTATTTCTGTTTTTTAATATTGGAGGGATATGGGCCGGTCTGTTTTTTTCTGTCTTGTTCTACAGGTGGTTGTGGGTCTTTTATCATTCAGCGGGTTCGTGTCTCATTGGTGGTTTGGGGGTGACGCATTTTGGCAGAGCCATAGGGCAGGTTGTCGTTTCGTGCCGGAGATTCGATATTTGGCTAAGTTAGCGCAGTGTGGGCGATGTGACCGGTCATAGGGAACCATACATTTCTTTATATCAGGGAATCCACTACGAAGTGTTCTGTCATTCGGGGCATGGGCTACGTATTGCGCAGTCAGTATCAGAGCATCAGTGTTTCGTGGTTAGTGTGTTCTTCATATGATAGCGTGCGGTATCCGCAGAGAGATAGTGTGTCTATCGTTTGTTTTCACGATGTCGGTTTCTTTTGTGACACGTGGGCATGTCGGGGGCCGTGTGGTTATGGTGTTTGAGTTAGGCGATCTACGGGACACTCGTCTAGGTCGTGAGTTCAATTTCATCAGTTCGGTTACTAATCACCAGATTCGTCACTACGAAATCGATGTTCGGGGGGAGTTGGCTCTGCAGGTTGTAGTGGGCCTTGGATATGCAGAGGAGTTTCTTCGTGAGGTTATAGTGTACGTGACAAAGGTTCATGGAGATGTGTCGAATGCCTACATCATTCCTTTCGAGGATATTGTTGAATCAATGGTTCGTTTGGTGACTTTTGCTGTGTGGCGGGAACATGGAGATTTTTTGTCGTCAATCGTGGAATGGGAAGCCATCCTGGATCCGCCATTGGTGGGTCGTGCGTATATGCGAGGAGATCTGAATTAATTGTGCGAGATTTGTGGCGCGGCCAGAGGACACCGAAATGTTGAGATGTGTTCCTCAGCTGGTGAGACTTCAGCGTGGATCGTTATCCGAGAACGTCAAGTGGTCAACGGATCCTACAGGTGACCGGTATTGTGTTTTGTGCGATCGTAGTATGGTTGTGCGTTACGCGGGTATGTTCGTGTGTTCTTGAGGTAACCCTCATGTGCTTTGATCACGCGCCAGAGCACCGGTAATGCATCGGCAAGTGTTTGTCCTGGTTCAAGCCTCCGTGTGAGCGTGCATGTGTGTGGGTGCGGGAACCAGGGGGAGCGTGGCCGATGACGAGAGTTTGTGCGAATGCTCGTGTGTACTTGAGCGAATATATAAGTGAGGTCGAGGGGGACAGAAGCGAGAGAGCAAGAGCGAGCGAGCAAGGGGGGGAGAGAGGGAATAGGTGAGCCGCTGATCAGAGTGGTGTTAGCTTTGGCCCCTGTCAGTCTAAAACCTGGATCTTCTATTTTTTGGGTCCTGTATGTATGACAACGTGCTACTACGTTCTTCGTCGTCAGGCGCGAAGCAAGGTTGGGGTGACTCTCCTCAATCAAGACAGCCCTGCCATACATATAGCATCGGAGGAGGAAACACTATTATTGGGTGGTTTTAAGTATAACCTGTGATCGGTCAATGACTGTGTTATGACAGTCTTAACGCACAACTATTGTTCGGGGGTCGCCTTTTGGGTCTTATTTTCGTACAAGGGCATCGACAGCGAGTGTGAAAGGACTCGTCTATTATGCGAACTATCCGTAATTGCATTCGCCAGGGTTGTATTGGCATCTATCAGATCACTTGTAGTGTATAGGAATCACTATGCATCGACGGTGTTCGTGTAATTCGGTTATGGCTATGGTTACGCAGGAGGAGTAAACTTTGCGGAGTTTCGTGTTTTGCAGTTTTCTTTGTATATTAGTAGCGTTAATATGGGGAGGTGGGTAAGGATGGCAACCTTTCGGGTGGGATGTGGGTGGTACCGTTATGACGGGTACGTTCTGGTATTGATGGGGTATATTTTGTTGCTGATCACGGGAGGATATGGGAAGTTGGGATGTACCTGAGGATGTAGGAAGTGAAAGGGTTCCTTCAGCGGAAGTAGTTTTAGGCTGCAGCGATCTAAGTTTAGATGAAGTGCCATACGCGACGAAGAAGTCCAGGTGGTTGAAATCTCAAAGGATAGCAATAAGAGGGTCTAGGCCATCCCGTATTTAATCTTTTGGTTATAGTGGTGAGGTATTTGTGTGACTGCATTGGGTCTTAAGTGTAGATTTGTGGAGTAAGCATTCGTAGACTAATAGCAACTGGTGTTGTATTTTTTGGCTAATATCTTTTACGGACTCGGTTATGTGCAGACGCAGAGGTGTCTATTTGTGTTGTTGTGCAAGAAAAAGGATTATCGTTGCTACGAGTGGTATTGCAAGTGTCTCGCATGGATGTTCGATGGATGATTTGCTTAATTACGTAATCAGTTCTTCCGGTTAGATGTACCTGAGAGAATCGATCGTGATAGATGGGTTGAATATTTTCATTTTTCGTAATAATGTGAAATCGGTGTGGTTACTATATGATGTCCAATTGCATTTATGCATGATTTTTGTACTGTTCATGGTATTCAATTATCTCTGTGTGCTGTCAGTATCGTATTTTCAGGTGCTATATGCATGTATGTGGGTGTACTCGCAGCCAACCGTGGGTTTAAGTGCATTGAGTTGGTAGCCCAGGATGCCATGTAGCGAGCAAACACTTTATGAATTACAAAAAGAAGAGGAAGAATAGTTTGCAGCGTATTACATACACAAATTTCGTAAAAAACGGTTTAATGGGGTTTAGAACGCAAGTCAGGATATCTTACTTAGGAGATTAGTAGGCATTGCATTTCATATAGTAGTGCGGAAAACAGACTGTAGAGTTAGTAAGAGATTTTTAATTCGAAGCAATCAATAAGATTCAGAAAGAATATCAATCTATATGTGGAACAAGAAATAATTGGTCGGATTCTGGTTATGAGGTTTTATAAGATGTATGGTGGATATAGGGTGAGAAGGTAATAGTCGAGAGAGGTGGAGGTGGGGGAGGTGGTGGGGAGGTTGATGGGGGGGTAATTAATTTAGGTGTAAAGTGAATATGGCGGGTCGTAAGACATGAAGAATGGTTAAGGCAGGGTGGTTGTATTGGTAGGGGTATAGCATATTGGTCGTGTCTCCTGGATTAACCATGAGAGATTAAGGTGATCTTTTGTTCACGGTGGCAGACACATGGCTATCTCATCCATACTGTCAAGAGTTTTTTTTTTTGAAATCTTTTAGGGCGAGGGGTTTTATCATTCGAAGGAGCTTACGTAATTTTTCTTAGTTTTTTTGGTTTTTTTTTTTTTAACTTTCGGGTATTTTGTGTTCCCGTATTCTTTAATGCCATGTTGTTTTGTCATCATGTTTAGGGTATGTCGCTTCGCGCATATGGTGGTTTTGTCCTGATCAGACAGACGATGTTTCGTCCTACTGTCGTTATTGTTCTTTTTTTTGTAAATTTATTACTATTATTATATTATTGTGGCGATAAGTACGAAGAAAGCCAGAGGGTCGGAAAAAAGCGGCGGTGTTCCTTTCTTTATTTTTTCG